AACAATGGACATTGTCACAAAGCAGCTTTACAGAAATAAATGGATTCACAAAAAATATATTGTAAATATGTGAATTTATCCCTAATGAGCAAGCCAGAGGCGACGGTGGCAAGGAAAAACTCCCTGAGACAATATGAGGAAGAAACCTTGAGAGGAACCAGGCTCAAAAGGGAACCCATCCTCATCTGGGTGCAACGGACAGTGCAATTATAAATAAATCCCTTCTATTATTGTGTACTATATGGACAAATAGTGCAATTGTGCAACCAGTAAATTCATCACAGTTTTTGCAATAAGTCCGGTTGGTTAAAATCTATCCACTGTCCACTGATGGAGTCCTGAGTACGAAGGTGCTCGGGGCAACTGCAGCCCCAAAGCCACCACAGCAATCGCAGTCCCAAGCCATTACAGTACAGCTCCCCATATGTGATCCCCAAGCCATCTCCACAGCCCCCAGGTGGCACTATCCCCAGCAATCCACTCTCGACAGAGAGTGAGGGAGAGAGAGAGATGGAGAGAGGGAGAGATTGTTAGGTAAGCTTTTGTCCTCTAATGGCTAAGGACAATGTACTTTGCGTGCAGAGTGCAAGCAGGGACTCCGGCAAGACCTAGCTATGACAGCATAACTAAAAGGGAGAGCCAGATTAACACAGGTGTACATTGTTTAGCATATTTAGTGTGAGTGCTCAAGAAAATTAAATATTAGTCCTAATTTAGAGGGGGTGGACACATCAATTAGAAGGTTAAAGGTTATGGATGAGTGTTGATGTTGGCTAGACAGAGCCCACTTAACATGCTAAAAGAGATAAAGGATATTACAATGTTTGGTTGATATTTACTTCTAAATGTTTAACATTTGAACAATTAAATGTCCAAAGGTTAAAAGCATAGGTAAAGCGTTGTAGCATGTTTAAAGCATGTTGTAACATGTTTAAAGCTTAAAATGTTAAAAGTTTCAAATCATGATAAAAGCCTATAATGTTAAAACATTAAAAGGTTAAAATGTTTACATTATTTATAAAGGTTACATAGTATAATGTTAAATGTTAAAAGGCTGAATGTAAAAAAATGACTATATATATATATATAAAATGTATATTAAAGCCTTAGTAAAACGTGGCCTGAGCCACTGCCCATTTGCCTTCACAGGTTGAGCACTGTAGGCTGAGATAGGATTTCTGTAGGATACTGTACAGTATTCCCATCCCTGCTAAAAGCATTCTGTAATCACTCCGCAACATTGTAGAGCTGGATTCAAAGCTGCAGCAAGCCAGCAGGTAAATCATTATATAGCAAACGGATAAGGAATATTTAGCAAACAGTTCGTCGCACTGAAACTCCCATCATAATCATTTGTCTTAGTTGGTAGTAATCTATAACATATAGCATATTTAGAATATTTTATGAAAACCATATTAATAGTAGTATACAGAATAAAAAAAAACTTATATACTATAAATAGTCTAAATGAATTGTATCTTAGCATAACACGGATATATACTGTATAACAGTAAATGAAATTTCTAATACTTCCATTCATGATGAGGCAGGGGCAGGCTCAGAGAATGAGGGAGAATCAGGAGCCAAATCAGTCAGGTACAGGTGAGAGGGTTTCTGGATGACTGTAAAGGGACATGCTAGTAAGCAATTAATTCAACTGTTATCTACAATAAAGTCTGAACTTTATTAGAGTGTGTGCTGTCTTGTCTTTTAATCAGATATTTGTAACAATAATTTGTAGTTACAAGCTCATCATCCCATCACGTCTTTTGATAAAAAAAAGACTTTTTTTGGTACGGGCCACTGCCCCTCAAAATGTCTGTGCACGGCCCTGATTCTGCTTTTGAAATGTAAATATTTGGTGTTGTAGAATTGTGTAGTTTTCATGTAAGAAATGGGAAGCATGCACTTGGAGACTGGATTGGCACAAAGCTGCAAAATCTAAAGAATGCATTATAAAACATACATTATATAAGGGCTTGTCGACCTTTGAAATTTATTTCCAAACGTAAAAAGGCTACGTGACATGGCTACATCATGGCTACGTCATGAAGGTTTCCACCTCCGCGGTCATGGCACGAAATCTTTGAAAAGAGAACAAGCGCTATTGAGGAGGACAGATGTCGGACCTGTGCTGATCCTCTACTTCGTAGAAATGGAGGAAGCCACCAGGAGGTTGCACTTGTGTCACTTTATTTTCAGTTTTAGCAGTTGAACTACAACATGACTATTTCTACATTTAATTATTTCTGTATTTCTGTGTCAGTATGTTAATAAGGTAGGCGGTCCTAACCTCACTCAGTGCAGGATTGGTTAAAGAGGTGGGATCGTTTCAGCTCTATTACTACTGCCTTGGCTTGCAGTAGCTACTCTCTGCTACACTGGAGCGTTGCCAGCATTGCCCCTAGCTAGCTAGCTACAAGCCGCTAAGTTATTGACTGTTCCAGAAGGAATAAAAAAATAAATAAATAAACAAATAAAAAGATAAGAACATATGCATAGAGCACCTCCTACTGTTCATTTTACAGAACACATAAAAGAAAAAACTTACTGCTACACTTCTACTTAACATATATTACTACTTAACAGCTTAAGCTAAAAAATAATATATTTAAGCTTAACTTAAATAATAAATACATAATAAATTAATATAAATTAATATATTACTTTTACTTTCTCTAGGGGTGTAACCTATGAGATCTGCACTGTATGAAAACCGCCACAAAAATATAATGGTATTATGTTATAAAAATATAATGGCATTTTTAACTGACTTTATAATGCAATACAGCGAATCATATGACATGGTTTATTCCATGGGCGAAGAGTGGTATAAAATATTAGTGCTGTAATATAGAGCTACCTCTTCCCTTATAACGATTAAACCTAAATAGAAAAAAAAAATTCAGCTGGTTTACTTTAACATGGAAAACAACAACTAAACGCATATAAAATTATTAGTTGATTGACATAACGGTATTAGGATAGAATCCATTTTATATTATCGCTGTAATAAATACATTAGAAGGGGAATATTATTTTTCTAATAGAAGAACCAGCTTAGACAGATCCTAATAACTAAAAACGCATAGAACTGCTTACCAAAACGTCTTACACACCCAATAGTAAGTGATTTAACTTCTATATCATATTGCGATTTGCACAATACATAAGAACACCCTACTTTTAAAACTGCTTATGTAACCCAGTGGGACAGCTGGGATGTTGTTTATTTTCTATTTAATTTATTTGATACAATGTTATGTTAAAATGCATATTTGCTGTTATATTGTATTGAAATATTGTTTATTTCAGATCTGCAAAGTGTTTATTTGTTTTATGTTATTTATTTATTTATTTATTTTGGGGAGTCAGTTGTCGGCTGACCTGCAGAGGTCATAGTGGAAGTGGAGGAGTCAAGTGGGATGCGGGAGAGAGAGGGAGAGAGATAGAGGAGCACGAGGAGTGTGGCGCGCGCTACAGGAAAAGGTGGAAAGCTAAGGTGCTAAGCGAGTTTGTAAATTAGTGCCATTTCGGCTAGAAAGGCAGCTAACTAATTTACCTTAATGTATATGTGAGAGGAAGATTAATTCTAACCGAAGTTTCTAAAAACTCTC